TAGGAAAAGTAGATGAAAGTTGGTGAAATATCCAAACAGGTGAAGTATTTATTAATTTTATAAAGCTTACACTGTTATATTTGAATTCAGCAACCAAATTTCCCCAGTTTGTTTATGTGCACTTTTAATAGAACAAATACAGTTTTTGTGATTTCTAAGGTAAAATTCTACAGTATATGTGATATTGCATTTAGGATTTTGTACGATAGAAATATTTATCTGAATGAGGCTGAATAATACAAGTCTGATTCCACAAAACACCCAATATTGGATGCACATATAGTTGCGAATGGTTAAAATATTACTTATTGTAACCATAGAAACACCTCTGTAGTTTATGTGAGCGCAAAAACAAACATGATAAACCTCTAACATCTGATGTGTGTTGTAGTATGAGCAGTGAAGAAGTGCCTTCTGTCTCCGTACTTACGATACATTGTAGAAGACTCATTGCATTCCTACATGTAGTTGGGAGAAAGAAGTGAAGTGGACAAACTGCTGTTGACTCTGTGTGATGTTTCTGTATTATCAATGCACTGTGACTTGAAATTGGACATGAAATGAATTTTGCTGTTACAGCAAGTCTCAGAAATTATTGGGGCAGCCAATTTGCAAATTCGCTAGCGAATTGGCTTACGAATCGCGCTGACACCGACTCGTGGTCGCGTCCAGTCCAGAAATGATGCGTGACAGGTGTATGATGACTGAAGTCATACTGTATTTGTCTTGTAGGGTTTATTCTCGGTTACAGCACCCCATTCTGAAATCTATCTTGTAGCAAGGATAGAGAAGGTTTTACAAGGTAATATTACAACATGTGTGGAACCCTATATGAAGAGTGGAGATATACTAAAGGTAAATCACAGTACAATATTGCAAACCATCCTTTTCATTTGACAATTACTCAAATAGATTTACCAATATTTAGCAGCTGTAGTTGATATGAAATAATTTTACAAAATAAAGTGCTCCATAAATACGTCGATGTGATTGTAAGTAATAATGTGTACCTTCAATACTTGTAACTTAAAGGCAAGTATAAACAATAATACACTGCTTGTGTATTTTCCTCTGGTAAACTACAGATGTTTTGGCAGGAGTCATTTACACACTGTTACCTAGTCCTAATCAATTTGTAAATCTTTTCACTGTGTTCAGTGCTTGCATGTACTGTAAACTGCTTTAATTTCAAGAAAGAAAAATGTTCTTGAAAATCATGAAAATTTCTCGGTGTGTACAGCAGCTTTCATTTCTAGCAGCAAAAATTAAGCGGTTAACAGTATCTATTACTTTTTGGTTTTGCAGATCAAAGACATCATTTACTCTCGCAGTCAAATAATTTCAAAGTTACCAAATATTTTGTCTACTATGACATGTGAGATGTATTGCAATACTAATTATTTTGCTTCATGTATTTGCTTCAGCTTTCACAGAAATTATTAAAACAAGCCAAAATATTCTGCCACCGAATGGGAGATTATAGAATGCCTTTTGCATGGGCTGCCAGGCAAGTTAGATTTTAATACAGATTTCAATTTTTAAAAATTACTTTACACGATGTATGATTGTTTTATATTTTGTGTAAATATTCTCATCTTAGACCATTATTTCAAGACAAGCAAGTAGACCCTCATGCCGACTTTACACCATTTTATAAGCAAGAAAGTGCCAGACTGTCCGATGATGATCTGCTGAAACACTTGAAAGACATAAAAGCTAGTCCAGACAAACTTGGCAAGTTACAGGTTGTACCAGGCAGTTTGAAAATTTCAGTCAATCCTGTCAAAGCTCTGCCTCCAAGTAAGTGATGTATTTATTCTTACACTTAGAAAATATATCTATTATGTTAGCATTTATGACACAACAGATAAAGAGATAAGAACACAGTTTATTTGGCAAAACAGGGGGGGGCACGCTGCTGGGACCATACAAACAGTCTGAAATGCATAGCTGAAATCTGGCTAACAATGAGTGCTACCTAACTTGCCTAGACTAGTCCCACAGCGAGCCCCCCAGTGAGACGGTTAGCAGTGTCAAACTACTACCGCAGAAAAGATATAGTAAAGTACAGCAAATCTGAAAAGATCAAAAAACAGTCTGCAAAAAACAGAAATTAGACTCCCATATATATATTCAATTTGAAATATTTTCAAATTAAGTCATTCTTCTTTTTTTTAAGATTATGCATAAAATCAAGTGATAAGGCTTCATGTTATTTGTCATGAGAATGATGCAATACAGAATTTTGTAAACTATCAATTTTTAGCTCCGCTGTCGACTTTGTCGAGCGGAGCTTATCATATGAGTGATTGTCCGTCGTCTGTCGCCCATGTCAATGTTTTACTTTTTCGGCTTCTTCTTGAAAACTACAATCCTGAATGCTTTGATACTTGGTGTGTATATACCTGGTGTAGGCCTCTCTCAGATTTGTTCATTTCATGATGATATCTTCAATTCTCTAATTTTGGCAAATCCAATTGCTTTGATATATTATACATATAGGTACTACATGTGGACCTCTCTCAGATTTGTTCACTTTGTAATGATATCTTTAATTCCCGAATTTTGGTAAATATTTTTGTAATTTTTGGTAAAAAGTGATATTTTCGACTTCTTGTTGAAAACCGCAAGTCCAATTGCTTTGATATTACATATATAGGTACTACATGTGGACCTCTCTCAGATTTGTTCTATTTCTAATGATATCTTCTGTTCTTTAATTGCCATGTGCATTGCTAACAGCGGAGCTATCTCGACCGACAGGCTGCTTGTTTGCCACTACCGATAGGAATGTTCCAGGATCTGACATTACTGTAACTGCTTGTCTACTAAACCCCCAGTGAAACGCTCACTGCTGAACAAATTTTCTGATGCTTTTTCTGACTTCGTCTTGTGAAATCGAAGCTGTATGTGCATTTCCTGCTGTTGTTTGCGGGGTCACATTCATCCTTGTCAGTAGATCTAATAAGTTATTTTACGTAAAAAAAAAAGTGATCAATCTAAGAGAGTGGCTCATGAATTTTGCTCACCACTCTTTTCTCTGTTTCTGCCAAAATATTTAATAAATGAAAGAAGAAAAAAACAGCAACCACAAAAAATTTTTCGGCATTGCAGGACCTTCTAGCAACATTTCTGCATGAGTTCTTTCTGTTGTTGTTTAGACTGTTTGACGCCATCACTGGTGCCATTGGATCCATACCCTATACCACCAATTACTGATGTACTACTAGAGATAGAAGAGTTCATACCGGAGGAAGGCAGATTCTCCTATCCTCATACAAACTATGTCAATCATTTGTATGTCTATCCACGTTCTTTGAAGTATGACGGACAGAAAGCATTTAATAAGGTATTTATACTCAAATGTTTACTATTTCAACATAAATACATAGGAATCAAATAAAAAATAAATTCTCAAGAGCAAAATGGGGTTTATGTCAGTCAACAGTGATACAGTGACCCCTTTTTAAATTGCGGGTGTTGGGATCCATGCAGAAATCGCAAAGGTGTTTTCAAGCATTGAAAATGGAAAAAAAAACATAACATTGGTTCATTTACCCCTATAGTATGTTTGCTTTATTGAAAACATCTTAGCATCACAGCTTTATGGATGTCATCATTGTCGGTTAATTTCGCACAATTTCTGTTCAGTCCACCTCTTGGTCAACCTCGAAAACAAATTTTCTCAGCTTTTCTTCAATCTTTCTTCTTTCTTGACACAGTTGATCTGACACAGTCTGAAAACGGGGACTTATGTTTTGACCTCCATGCGTCCGTGTGTCCTTGCGTGCGTGCGTGTGTCCATCCGTCCGTCCGGACCTGTATCTTAGAAATGCCTGGACCAATCACAATTAAACTTCACACATACATCATACATGATATTATACATATGCACGTCAATTTGACCTGATTCAAGGTGGCCGAATGGCGACCATTTTTGTGTTAAAAAATCATCAAAATCAAGCATTTTTCGGCTGTTTACAGATGGATTTTGTTCAAACCTTGTATATATGTTGGACATTATAGGACCCTGATGCACATTATTTTGTTTTACGATCTGATTCAAGATAACCGAATGGCGGCCATTTTTGTGCTAAAAAAATCATAAAAATCAAGCATTTTTCAGCTGTTTACAGATGGATTTTGTTCAAACTTGATATATACATTAGACATT